AAGTGGTAAACAGTTTCGCCCTTTTGAACGAATTCCTGAGAATTTCGTCCAAATGTTTACTCATAAGACTTTTGCCGACAAAGTCTTTGATTTCAAAACTAAGTTTATTGAGTTTTGTGTCCACATCGCCGCCGGCCTTCATATCTCGCAGGAGCTTCTCTTTCACCACTTGTGGCAAATCTTTTGATATGAATTTGACGATCAGTTCGAGTAAATACTCGTCGCTCAGCATATCTTCGTTGAGTTGCGTTTCGGACAACGAGTCGATGATAACCGCGCGACCGATCGGCGCTTTGGCCAACATTTTCATAGCGATAAGCGCTCCGTAAAAGTGGCCGACAATATCGTAGTCCCCTTTGGGCTCCAGTTGTTTCATGAGTTGCGTGTAATAAAGACTAATCTCTTTAAGTGATCCCATTCTCTCCATATCTTTAGTCCAATTGAGTCCAATCACCGGTCGGTCTATCTTTGAGGCCAATCCTTCCAGTGATGCGAATATGCCTTCGAGTGGAGGCAAGAAATACACCGCTTTTCCAGCCGTCACACCATTGAGTCGAGTATAGCTCTCGTCGGGAATAATGAACTTAATTTTACTTAACTTATCCCTCGCGACACGTATTTCTTTCACGTATTGCCTAAAGACCTCCACTTTTCCCGATTCAAAGTCCTTCATGTTTTTGATTGTTATGTTTTTGATGTCATTAAGGGTTAGCTTAATGTCGTAATCCCTTTCCAATCCCTGTTGTAATTCAATGGCAAACATAGACTCCATTCCTATCTCCCCGAGTGTCAAGTGATCGGGCGTTGTCTTCGGATCGATTCCCAACGCCTGCCATATTTGGGCCACAATTTTTGCCTCACGAGTACCCGATTGGGTCACTCTCTTCGCCCTTACCTTTAAATTGAAAAGTTATTCATTAATAAACATTTAATACATATTTTGCATAAAAATCACTAAAAAAGTTTGAGTGTTGTGTACTCTGCTAGCGTAGCGCTCTAACTTCATTAAATAGGTTTTATAGATTTGTTCTTAACTAGGCAACAAAGTGTTAAGGCCGGTTTCTCAACTGCTGTAGACAAAGCCGGTTAACTCCGACGTCACCGATAGGTCCCCATTGAATGGCCAAACCGTGTAAACCTGTGGCCCGTCTTTGTTCGCAGATGTGTTCGCAAACAGAGTTCGCGAAACCATAGTTTGATTGCCCGGCGTTTCCTTTACCACAACTTACAGATGAAAAGACCACAAAATAGTCTAAATCTGTGGCCATTTCTCGAGTCATTTGATCCAAATTCTTAAAGGTTGTAACTTTTGAATTAATGGTTTCCTGGAATTTATCGTACGTTTGATTCTCAAGAAGACAGTCATTGAGGACGAGAGCCAAATGAAAGACACCGCCGATTGGACCTAATTTGTTGGCCGCGGCCATCAGTTGTCGACTGCCATCCAATGTGTTGGTGTCATGAGTGGAGACAACAATCTCTGTCTCAAACATTTTGAAGTTCCCACCCATTGATGAAATGCGATTCAATACATACTTCTGGTAATCCTGTTTCACACCATATCTCGACGTTANCTCTGTCTCAAACATTTTGAAGTTCCCACCCATTGATGAAATGCGATTCAATACATACTTCTGGTAATCCTGTTTCACACCATATCTCGACGTTAAGACAAACTTTCGCGCGCCTAAGAAGAGCATCCAATGGACTAATTCCAGACCAAATCCACCCAAACCTCCGGTTATTATATAAGTCTTGTTTGGATTGAAATATGTTTTCGAAGTCACTTTCAAAGTGACCGAAGGATTGATAAGAGTTAATGGTTTTCTATCTGTCTCTTCATCTCTTGTTTTGATGACAATCTTTCCCATGTGTTTACCGGTTGTCATATATCTGAACGCTTTCTCCGCTTCTTCGGCCTTAAAGACGGTTCTATTGATTGGTGTAATCATTCCGTTGTCACAGTTCTCGTGCATCCATTTATAAAATCTATCTACAAATCCGTTTTCAAAGTACAGTTTCCTATCGACTGATACGCCGATGAATGAGATATCTCTGAGGAATGAAAACATTCCCAACTGTTTGTTCATTTGGAGGTCATATTTGCCGATCTCTACAAATCTCCCGCAATCGGCAACGCATTCATAACTGGCGTCCAATTTATCGCCGGTCAGAGAGTTGAGAACCAAATTAACGCCTTTCCCTTTCGTCAAGGATTTAATTTTGTATTTAAACTGAATATCTCTCGAACTGAATATTCTGTTCTCCGGAATATTGTATTCATTCATCAAAAACTGTTTCTTGTCTTCAGTGCCGACCGTAACGAAGATATCGCAGTCATAGAACTGACAGACTCTGATGGCCGCCTGACCCACACCGCCGGCGCCCGAATGAATGAGAATACTTTCATCTGTTATAACATAAAAAGCATTAGTTTTTCCATTTTAATTCAATGAAAAAAGTTCATTACTTTTCTTCAATAACGCCCTTTCGATCAAACCATACCATACAGTGCTATAAGTGCACAGAATAGTGACCGCGTCCTCCATAGACCAGTGGTCGGGAATGGCTGTTATGAGTCCCTCATTAGCGTTGATAGATGTGGCGAAACAGCGGCTCATATCAAAGCCGCAAACCCTCTCTCCCGTATCACTTCTTCTTCCGGCAAACTCTAAGCCAATCAAACAATCGGTGAACAAGAGTTGCGGTCCCGAAGCGATCCGTCCTTTAATTCAATTAAAAATTATTTTAATAAATGTTGTTTAAAAAAGTTACAAAAAATCAATACCTGTTGCGAACATAACATCGCGAAAATTAATACCAGACGTATAGACATCGCAATGGATTTGTTTGACCGCATTGTTTGAGATGTCAAAAAATTGAGTCTTCGGTACGATATTATTGGAGTCAAACCATTGCAAACTCGAAAGATCTCTATTGTGACCCACATTTAGGAAATAGTCACTCGACTCGGTTTTGTCGTAATCTTTTGGTAAAGTAAAGTGTCTATAAGTGCCGACCTTTCCGTTCTTCACTACATTTACGGCCAAATCGTTTGACACGATATCAGCGAAGGGTTTGCTCTTGAAGTCAATGGGAAGTGTTAGGAGACGGTCGGCGTCGTAGAGGCACCGAATGCTCTCTCCTCCCGGCTCTAAACGCAGACAATTAATGAGACCAATGATACCATTACTGCCAGAATCACTGGCAATGAGCCATATTTTATCTTTATTTTCTTCGTTTTCGTTATTTGCCTTCAATTTGTCTTTAAGTAAATCAAACCAATTCTTGTGATCGGAATTAATGGTAATAATCTGGTCGACCGTCGGGGCGATTGGTTTAGTGAACGCTTTTCTAAATAGCAAAGCCATTGAACCAATTGAATCAAATTTACTGCTAATTAGCGTTAAACCAGTATTTTTGGCGGTTATTGAGAAATCGGTGACTCTTTTCTCTAAGTCCTGGTTTTGTAAATACTTTTTACCGTTCATTGAATGTAAAGTCATTTCCGGTTCAGTGAGTTTTGTGCGGAAAATAGAAATTAAGAATCCGTTGTCTGTCAGACAGTCGTACACTTCTTGGATGTGATCTTCGAGTTTGATATCATATAAGTCTTGGGAATCATTAATGATAATTAAGTCTTTGGGCGATATGTCTGATGGAAAGACACACGTCTTGTGATTCCATTCATTCAATTCAAACGATTGTTTCTTAAAGTCGTCGTGAATGTCATCTATAGATTTGAGAGCAATAGTATAGTTGACATCAATTGGATAAATAGCAGCCGAAGCCAAATGATTGTCCACTAGAGACCGGTAGTCTGGTAAACAATTTAACTAAAGGTTATGAAATTAGAGAAAAATGGGGACATTATTCTCACTGACAATATCCAGAAGAGAGCGAATCAAGTGCTCGTTCTTTGAGACCTGATTTATCACATCTAAACTCATATCAAATTCTGGTCTATTCTTGATATCGCAAACAAAAGCGTTAGCCTTAGAAACGGCCAGTTTTTTATCCACGTTATCGTTCGCATCCTTTGATGTGTTTATTATTTTAAGTAATTTATCAAAAATTTTCAGTAAAATCTGATCGTCTTTTATATCATTCAAATAGTTTTGGATCAAATCGTCGCTAATTTCATCGCTTTTAATGTTATTATTATCTAAACCAAGCGTTTGTCTCACTTTATGTGACAATTTAGCGCAAACCTAAATATAGAAAATAAATTCAATGAAATTAAACAAACAAAACATTATTTTCAATCACTTGACAAACCTTTAAATACTCTTCAATTTTATTTCGATCGTAAGACTCGATAGCGTTATGTTCATCGTTGGCGACGAACTGATACGACTCCAGCTTTAAGTCCAATATATTAGACCGACGAGGAATAGGAAGTGCCATCAGGTCCTCGATCTCCACCCCATGGGTGACAATCATTCGGGAATTCATGTCCACATGAAATGGCAGAACAGACTTATAGACGTGAAACTTCTGTTCGGCGAACTCTTCCAACAGTTGCTGAGAATCGTTGGCTTCGAGGAGTCCCTCATCGGTGGTCTCCATCGTGTTTTGCTCCAAACCTGTGGCGATCTTCTCCTCAATGCCTCGCTTCCCTTCCTCTTCGACCACTTTATTCTTAGTGAGCGCTTCGTAGAGCACTTTGGGATTGCATTTCAACGACTTTATCATCACCGGAACCATCATCTTTCTGAACGGCATAGCAATGGCCATCGAC